CAAACTCTAAAAAGAAAACCCAATGCCAGATATTTGAATCTAAAATAGAGGGAGGGTTCGCGAAGTTCTGCAAGCATAACGTTAAGGGGAGTTGAACATCTGTAACCCATAACTAATCTGATTGCTCTCATCTGAATTTTGTCAACCTTCGTAGACAGGTCCCTAGAGACAGAATTCATAAGGAATCCTGCATACTCAAGTCTAGAGCGGATTAACGCCCTATACACCTTTCTAAGGACATATGAGTCAGAGCCCCACCACTTCCTACCTAAGCATTTGAGAGTTCTGATTGAGTTTGCACATCTCTTTTCTAGCTTCAACATATGAAACTTCCAATTTAGATTTTTATGAAAGGAGACTCCTAGAAAAAGTGCCACATTAGATGGGTGAATTACAATACCAGAAACGTTCAAAGGGGTGTTCATTTTCATTCTAGTCCTATTAAAAATACAAAACTGTGTCTTTAATGGAGATAATACCAACCCAATTTCCTTTAACTTCTCCTCAACACGTTTAATGGCCTGCTCTAAATTCTTTATTCCAGTAGCCAGCGACGGGGAGGTTGAGTAGAGACAAATATCATCTGCATACTGAAGCATATGCACATCACCGTGATTCATGTTATCTATTTCGGTAACATATATTGTGTACAGTATCGGGCTCATTACACTACCCTGCGGAAGACCCCGATAAGCGAACCTTTTTTCATCCAACTCATGAAAGCTACATGAAACCCTTCTAAAAGAGATCAAATTATAAATAAATGTTTTGCTCTGTGGGGGGAGGCCTAGAGTAGCTAACTTATCAATGAGAATATCCGAAAGGACGGAGTCATAAGCTGATTTTACATCTAAAAACGCAGCTGGAATAGCCCTTCTCTCTTCAAATCCTATCAGAATATCCGTGTATAAGATTGTTAAGTTGTCAAGACAGCTTCTCTGTCTTCTAAACCCATATTGCGAATCCGGGATAAGTTTATTCACTTCTAACCACCAAAGAAGTCTATTCGTCACTAATCTTTCCATGACTTTACATAAACATGATGAGAGTGATATAGGTCGGAATTTATTATTAGATCCTTGTTTTGGAATAAAGAAAACCAAGTAGTCTCTCCATTCTTTCGGAAAACTGCCCTCCTTGTAGAGGAGATTGTAAATTTTTAAGAGAAAAGCTTTACCCAACGGGGAAAATTTCTTAATAATTCTATAATCGATTCCATCCAGTCCAGGGCTAGAACCTAAATTTACCGATTCCAAAGCCCAATCAAGTTCCTCAGGCAGAAAGGGCAAGTCCAGGAAAGGATCCGTTCCCGGTGAACTCAAGGATTCGTCTGGTCGAGGAGTGGGAGCCCACGGGGGGAAAAGTTCGTCAATTTGGTTACGGACACTGTCAATTTTCTCAGCAGGAACTGCTCTACCTGTCTCAGTCCTATTCCATCTCGAATCAAATCTCCTCATGGTGTCCCAAACTATTTTGGGATTCGTATCTCTTTTAAGGGATTCTGCGAAATCCTTAAAAGCCTCAAGTTTAATCCTCCTTAAACCTTTCTTTGTTACCCCACACTGATATCTGTAGGCCTCATAATCTACAGCTTTACCCGTTTCCATAAAAATCTGTAGTTTTAACTTTCTTTCCGCTATCAATGCATCGCATTCCTCATTCCACCAAATACACGGAAAATGAGGAGGAGAGGGAGGGGGGTTCCGAGGATTCCCCGGGGTAGCCTCCCTCACTGCTTTTTCCACAATTGCTAAGAACGAAGAATACAAGACCGTGGGGCTGAGCTGATCCGACAACATCAAGATTCTAAGATCTTTGTCCATAATAGAGCTAAACCGATTCCAATCTGTGTGCTTATTGTATAATTTGGTTCGCTTACGTGGAAAAGAGGAAGGGCCTCTGTTCATTGACGACGTAATCAAAACCGGATAATGATCCGATCCCCAGGCATCATCCAAAGTCTGACATCTCAGTCTAGGAGCGATGAAAGCATGACAGAAGGCCAAATCGATGGTTGAAGGGCCGCACGAAGCGTTGCCCAAGAAGGACGGAGCACCGTCACTTACTAGAACGAGTTCAGTATCCTCGATTGCCGACGATAGTAGCCTACCCGATTGACAAAGGAACGAAGACTCCCACGCCGGGCTGTGAGAGTTGAAATCACCTACGAACATACATCTATTAGATCCATTATTGTTATCAAATTGAGTGAAAAATCTTACCCACTCGTTTTCAGAAATTTGACCACTCTGAGGGGGTTTATAGCAAGATATAATCATAAGATTAAAATCGGAGAAAAAAATTTCAATTGCACATGCTTCTATTTTACCTGCACAGTCCTCTAGTACAGAAATCTCTCTGTATTTAAGGGCATGACTAACTAAAATAGCCACCCCTCCGCCTCTACCTATAACCCTATTCCGTCTCACCGTATCGAACCCTCTCAACATGAAATTGAATTGTGGTTTAAGCCATGTTTCCGAAATTGCTGCGCAATCGAATAATGTACTCTGCCTTTCCAGTTCTTGAAAACGCTGTAACAAAGAATGTGCATTCCAATGTATCAACCTAAATTTATCCATTTCAAAATACGAAATGAGAAAAATCCGGAAAGAGAAAATTAAGAAAAAGTAAAGAAATTATAAAAGAAAATTTACCTACTCAGTAAAAATATAAAAATGAAAAAGTTATTAGGATTATAAAAATGCGAAGTTTTAAGGCAAAGCAAACTGATTAAGCTATTAAAGATTCTGTAATAATAATAACAAAGGGCGTTAACGCGTAAAAAGGTAAAAAGGAGAAAACTTTTGACAAAACTCTATTCTTTTAAGGTCTCCTCATGGAGCTTCATGGTTTTCTCCAGCCTAGTCACCAGTTGGTCCAGTTGCTTCATGGTAGACGCCTTTTTCATTATTTTCAAGAGTTTGGAGGAGATCTCCGGAGCCACCTTCATAAGGCTAGCAGCGAATGTTCTTCCTCTCGAACTGGATTGTAGACTTGTCGCAAAGTTTGACGTAGAGTTTGACGTAGACGTGCCGCCCTTTGAAGGAAGAAGAGGGAAGTTTCTTGAAGAAAACACTGGCGGCCGCCGATCGTCATAGAACGGGCAATTTTTATTTTCTCTTTTCTGAACTAAGGCCCTTGCCTCCATAAAGGGAAGGTTATCAGCAGCCATAACTTTTGCAATCTCGAGGTTCTTCATAAATTTAGGGCATTTTCTATCACTGGTAGCGTGTTCTTCCTCGCAATTGATACATTTCTTTGGTTCGGAACAAGGCGTCTCCTTAGAGCTAACATGGTCCTCGCTGCCACATTGCAAACACCTGGGATTTTTTTCGCAAAATTTAGACAGATGACCAAATAGGCCGCAGTTGAAACAGAGTCGTACCGACCTTTGAAACGGTGATGTATGAACAATTGTTCTATAGATCTTTATATGGTCCGGCAATTCTTCACCCAATTTCTGGACACAGACCGCCTCCGAGTCCGACCAAATACCAGTGGTGCGATCTCTTCTTTTCAGCCTGAAGAGGTCCGAGATTAGAATATCTTGATTCTCTTCCTCGATTACAGTCTTTAGCTCAGCCAAGGATAAGTCGAGAGGAATATTTCTTATAACAAATTGACGAGTTAATTTGTACTTCGGAATGTATGTTATAAATCCTTCTTCCTTAATGAACTTGTTCCTCAGAGCCATGTTAGCCGCGGCCTTTGACGGAAATGTAACCTTCCACGTGTTGAATGAAGAAGGCGCAACGCTGTCATATTTTACGTTCGC